GAAACTACACAAGAATTGTTTGTTACTTGAGATTAGGAGGGCTGTTTGCAACTAAATGTAACATGGTATGGTGAATCTTTTTGCCACAAACTTGGCAACAGCCTTTACTTTAGCATTTAGCAATTTAAAAGGCATAAATCAGACTTCATTAGTAGGTCATAACGAACATTAACATCGACATCCAGAAACTGAGGGCAGTTTATAATTTTATGGCTTGATTTACAGACTGGACATTTTAACTTAAATTTCCGATTATCCTGTCTATTGCTGGTTAAAAGTTTTTTCGCTGAACTTTAAGCTGTGAAATTTTGGATGTAGAAGGCTCGGAAGATATTTCTGCGACTCTTAAGTTGTGACCTGACAAATTTACAAAATTCTTCAGAGCTAGGAACTGTATCTTTGCTGAGAATATTCTCAAACATTCTTCTTGTATTAGGGTCTACAACATTCAGTCCGAGATGCAGTAAAACAAAATCAGCGAGGTTATTAAGTTTAAGATTTTTTAAGGCATTATAATTGTCTTCAAATGTGTCCAGAAATGTACAATTTTGTTAAGGTGGAAGGCCACAATAATCCTTTTATTATTATAACACTTTACTAATTTATCATAGGCCATGTTATAATTTTCTACGTTAAACTCAATTTAAGAAATGGCCTTTGAAGCAGAATGAATTAAAAGTGACTTGAGATAAGAAAATTTGACTATATCCGTGTAATTTTGATGATGAATTAAGGCATCAAATAATGATTTAAATGAAGGAATTTGTTCTTATTGTCCAGTAAATTGAGGAATTTGAAACTCAGACAATTTAGGATACGCTATCGGTTCAGACATGCTGGGTTGAGAAGTGGGAGCTACGTGCTCAGCTTATATTAATCTCTCCTGAGCAACTTTTATCTTAAAATAAAGTTCCTCCGCTGCTAAAGAAGGTGTATTTATCTCAATCCTATGTTCCTCCTCTAATGATTCATTTAGCACCGAAATTTTGTTCAACACTGCTTCTTCAAATTCCTCCAGTTGTGCTTTAATTTCTGAAGCTTTAGCCATAAAAATTTCTTTTCTAGCAGGGGGACCTTCAATTATATTGAAAGTGGTTTGAACTCTAAGAAACAGCCTTTCCTTTCTATCATTAATAATAGTTTTAAGTCCCTCAGTACTCTTAGTTGGTGCCATTTTCAAATTTGTTAAAAAAAATAAAAATTCAAAATTAAATTTTAATTGCTGAGGGCAAAACCAATTTTCTTCAAAATAAATGCAAAGTTCCGCAAAGCAAGCCAAGACAAGTATTAATGAAGTCACTTAATTCTAGCAAGTCACTATGCATTCTTTCCTGAAAATTCCTGGAAACTTATCTGGAAAAAGCTTGAGTTCCCCAAATATGTAATGAAAGCATTAGAAATGATATAAGATATATTAAAAAAAAAAAAAAAAAAAACCAATCAATAGGCAAAATACGAATATTAGCCAGGAAATATACGATTTTTACAAAAAAATTCAATTTTTAATACTCTGACACTATCAATTATGCAACAAAGCAAGAAACGACATAAGATATACTAAAAAAAAAAACAACGAATTAATAGGTGAAATACGAATATTAGCCCGTAAATAGACGATCTTTACAAAAACTCTCATAACCTACCAGGCAATTTTCCTCCTTTACATAAGGAAACTTTCCAAATTTAATTACAGTAAAGGCAAATAACTTTAATGAGTTCAACATAGACAATATTCGACTTATTTTGGCAGTGGACTGTATTTTGATGAGGTGGTAGGTTATATAAATTGTGTAAAATAAAATCACCCTTTTATGCTGCCATAGACATCTTACTTAAATGAGAGGGCCCTCCAGTCTGCTGCAGTTGATGCCACATGGAACATCTGTGATGGAATGGGGTGAGTGCATCTCGAAGCTGGCGCGGATAAAATTTTATCTTTTAGATCTTATCTGATCTGCCCCACCACTCACCGCAACACGACAATTGGGCACAATAGCTCTCACACAAAACACTAAGATTTCAAGAAAAAACCACTGGTCACGTACTTTTCACAATATAAAATTTAAAAAAAAAATTTAAATTTAATTATATTTACACTAGCTGATAAATTTTAATTAAAATAATTAGTGAATATCTTACTTTAAAAACTATTGTTAATACAGTTGACTCAAGATTAGACCTGGGCACTCTTGAAATAATTTATTTCTAAAATAATTCACATGGTTATTCCACGAATGAATTATTTCGGGAATAACGGTTATTTCTGAAATAATATTTCAAACAGTCAACGAAATAATCTCGATGGAATAACTCTGAATTTATTTCTGAAATAATTATTTCACTATTTTAACATTCTTTGGAATAATGTAAATTATTTCGAAATGAGTTATTTCTGAAATAAATTATTTCATAACTATTATTTCAGGATTATTTATTTCATAAATAAATTATTGCATAAAATCAAGAAATAAATATTTCAGAAATAACATTGTTCTGAAATAACATAAAAAAATTACCAATATGCACCATGTTTTCGGGGACGCTTTTTATGAAAATACTGTCGAATTTGAGATTGCGCCACCCCCTCCCCACCCCCCATCAACTTTTTGTAACTTTTCGGATTTAATCCATATCAGGGACGACTATTATGTTTTCGGGGGCGCTTTTTATGAAAATACGGTCGAATTTGAGATTGCGCGCCCCCCCCACCCTCTCACATCAACTTTTTGTAACTTTTCTGAAATAATCGATATCAGGGTCGAATATTATGTCTTCGGGGGTGCTAATTATAAAAATAAAGTCGAATTTGATATTGCACCACCCCCTCCCCACCCCCCATCGACTTTTTGTAACTTTTCAGATATAATCGATATCAGGGTCGACTTTTATGTTTTCGGGGGCGCTTTTTATGAAAATACGGTCGAATTTGATATTGCACCACCCCCTCCCCACCCCCCATCGACTTTTTGTAACTTTTCAGATATAATCGATATCAGGGTCGACTATTATGTTTACGGGGGCGCTTTTTATGAAAATACGGTCGAATTTGAAATTGCGCCACCCCCCTCTCCACCACCCATCGACTTTTTGTAACTTTTCAGATATAATCGATATCAGGGTCGACTATTATGTTTACGGGGGCGCTTTTTATGAAAATACGGTCGAATTTGAGATTGCGCCTCTCCCTCCCCCCCCCAATCGAGTTTTAGTGACTTTTCCGATTTAATCGATATCAGGGTGGTCTTTTATGTTTTTGGGATATCTTTTTCAAATTCTACCGTATATTCCTAATTAGCTACCCCGAAAACATATTAGTTGATCCTGGTATCGATTGAATCTGAAAAGATACAAAAAGCTGATGCGGGAGGGTGGAAGGGCGCAATCTCAGATCTGACATTATTTTTATAATTAGCGGCCCCGAAAACATAACAGTCGACCCTGATATCGATTATATCTGAAAAGTTACAAAATGCGATGTTGGGTGGGGAGGGGGATGGCGCAATATCAAATTTGACAGTATTTTCATAAAAAGCGCTCCCGAAATCATAAAAGTCGACCCTGATATGGATTAAATCCGAAAAGTTACAAAAAGTTGATGCTGGAAGTAGAAGGGGGGGGGCGCAATCTCAAATTTGACATTATTTTTATAACTGGCGCCCCCGAAAACATAATAGTCGACCCTGATATCGATTATATCTGAAAAGTTACAAAAAGTCGATGGAGGGTGGGGAGGAGGTGGTGCAATTTCAAATTCGACCGTATTTTCATAAAAAGCGCCCTCGAAAACATAATAGTCGACCCTGATATCGATTATATCTAAAAAGTTACAAAAAGTCGATGGGGGGTGGGGAGGGGGTGGTGCAATTTCAAATTCGACCGTATTTTCATAAAAAGCGCCCCCGTAAACATAATAGTCGACCCTGATATCAATTATATCTGAAAAATTACGAAAAGTCGATGGGGGGTGGGGAGGGGGTGGTGCAATTTCAAATTCGACCGAATTTTCATAAAAAGCGCCCCCGTAAACATAATAGTCGACCCTGATATCGATTATATCTGAAAAATTACAAAAAGTCGATGGGGGGTGGGGAGGGGGTGGTGCAATTTCAAATTCGACCGTATTTTCATAAAAAGCGCCCCCGTAAACATAATAGTCGACCCTGATATCGATTATATCTGAAAAGTTACAAAAAGTCGATGGGGGGTGGGGAGGGGGTGGTGCAATATCAAATTCGACAGTATTTTCATAAAAAGCGCCCCCGAAAACATAAAAGTCGAACCTGATATCGATTATATCTGAAAAGTTACAAAAAGTCGATGGGGGGTGGGGAGGGGGTGGTGCAATATCAAATTCGACTTTATTTTTATAATTAGCACCCCCGAAAACTTAACAGTCGACCCGGATATTGATTATATCTAAAAGTCGATCGGAATGATTATTTCAGATTTCACATTATTCCTGAAATAATCATTTCAGATATCGTTATTCCTGAAATAATGTATTCCCGAAATAATCATTTCGGAAATAATGGTCAGGTTATTTCATGAAATAAATTATTTCGGAAATAACTATCGAGGTTTATTTAGGGATTTATTCCGGGAATATTTTTCAAATAAATTCTGCCCAGGTCTACTCAAGATAACTCAATTTTCAAATTCCTCATTATTTAACTTTGATTTATTATATTGATATTTCATTTCTTAGAAAACTCTTCCATTCAACTTTACCACAGAAATGAGCCGATGTTTTTCAATAGACTAATTACCAATGTATATTCAGTGATAGAATGTTCACATTTATTTCCTTAGATTTTTTTATAAAAACACCATATAATATCATTTAAATGTTTAACGAATAGATCATAAATTACTAAACATTACTTATCCAACTTCTGTGTCGAAATTGAAATAAAAGAAATGACTAAAATGAGTCAACAAAGGATTATAAAACTTTAGGAAATAACACAAAATTAAAAAAAAACAAAAACAATATTACTAACTCAAAGGAGATGGCCTCGAAGCTCTTGGAGTTATATCATTAAACATTTCTTCTTCGACAGCAAATCCTTCAGAAGCATCTTCAAAATCTTCAGGGGAGCTGTCTGTATCGGCGAGATCGATGAAGATCTAAAAAAAAATACATGTTAATTAGGTCAATACCAAAAAGATTTAATTTATATTTAATTTATGTCTATTTCATAAATTTCTAACTTCATATTTATTTAATTTTATATATAAATTTTTAAGAATATATTTTAGCAATTTATTGTAGTTAATATCCATTTTTATTAATTTCATTTTATTTTTAATGTTTACTTCCATTTTTATTAAATAATAGTAATAAACGACAGTTTTAATCAGTTACCATAATATCCTTCAAAATAAAATTTCTAGTTGTATTTACCAATCTGTAATAAAAATTAAAATTTTTTTTTTGATCAGTATCGATGACTGGAATTTTTTAAAAAGTTATTTCTTGATTAGAAATTTTTCTCATGCCACTTTTGAAGTAAAAATTTTATATAACTAAGAAATTTTTTTAAAAATCTAGTGTGAGGATCACACGACTTTCACTTACCAACCTCTTCTTAGCAGAAATAAGTATTTACAGACAAAGGGGAAGTGAAAGTAAAAATAATTGACACTATATTTATTTACAATTCACTGTGGGTATTTTTATTTGTTTAAATATCCTTATACATACAAATTTTAATTTTTATATCGCTGTATTCTATACAATTAAATATTAAAATTATACCAACAATAGCATTAATGTAAACCGCCTATGTTAAATATTAAAATTATACCAACAATAGCATTAATGTAAACCGCCTATGTATATGAATATAATATTGTCGGAGTCCGTATCATATGAAGCTCATGTTAGAAATAGAAAAATAACTTTATTCTGGGACACAGTCCCTTGAGAATAACAAAATAGAACAAAATTAAAATATTACATATGGCCAAAATAAAATAAATCGAAAAAAAGAAATAATGTAAAAAAAATATAAGGTAAAAATTCTATATACAAAACAAAGTAAACTATATACAAAACCATTAATACTATGACAAGAAACTTAAAGCTATTTGCTTTTATAGATCAGTATACACTTTTCCGAAAAAAATAAAGAATTAAAAAATAAAAATGTATCAAATTCTCTATTAAAATCCGCTCGCATGGTTAGCAAGTATCTGACTGTTTTTGTGATAGGAATTGGAATAGGAGGGATTAGAATGTGGATATGGAGGGGGAATGTCGAATTTTGATAGGGAGGGAATTCCAGAAATTGACAGAGCGAACAATAAAGGAATTTTGGAATGAGGCAGATCTGTGAGAAGGCACGTAAAGGTCAGAAGGTCGAGATCTTGTGGACAGGGAATGGACTGAGGATTTGAACTGGAGAAGGTTGTAGGCGTAAGAAGGACGATGGTTGTTGATGATTTGGTAGAGGAACGTACCTAGAAAGTATTGTCTTCGGAAGGAGGGGAAGAGCCACCTTAACTCAGTGTAGTGGTGAGAGACATGGGAGTACCTCGGGGCACCAATAACAAATCTTACGCAGCTATTCATTAATCTTTTCAGTCTATCACGGAGCTCCACCGAGAGGCCATCATACACCACACAGCTGTAGTCAAAGTGGGGGAAGATGAGAGAGGAAATTAGGAGTCTACGGATATGTTGAGGTAGGAGATGGCGGAAGCGATGAAATAGTTTAAGGGTAGAAATTGTCCGACGGGAAATGTGAGAAATATGGTAGGTCCAGGAGAGGGTTTGATCTATGAAAAATCCTAAATTTTTAACAGAGGAGTAGAAGGAAATTGGCTGGTCATTAAGGTGTAATATGGGAAAGTCAGTATGGGATCTAATGAGGGGCTTGGAACCAATGACAATGGCCTGAGTTTTGGCAGCATTTAACTTTAATCCATTTACATTTGCCCAGGCATTGATTCGATCAAGGTCTTCTTGAATCTTGGCAAATGCCCCCAGTAACTCAGAGGGAGAAAAGGATAGGTAGATCTGGGAATCATCTGCATAAAGGTGATGGGAACAATGGAGAATTGATTTAGGCAGGTCGTTAATGTAGGAGCTGAAAAGGAGAGGAGATATGCTTGAACCCTGGGCAACTCCAGAGGATAAAGAAAGGAAAGCAGATAGTGGTTGGTTGGGTATGGAGACTGCTTGGGTGCGTTGGGAGAGGAAAGATTGGAACCAGGAGATGGAACTATTGGAGAAAGATAATGATTTTAGTTTGTTGAAGAGGATGGAATGGTTGATGGAATCGAAAGCTTTGGAGAAGTCTAGAAGAATAAGGACAGTTAATTTTCTGTCATCTATTGCAGATTGAATGTCATTGGTAATTTTAATTAAGGCAGATTGTGTGGAATAGCCGGGACGGAAACCAGATTGGAGAGGATCAAATTGGTTGGACTTTTCGAGGAACTTGGAGACTTGGGATTGCACCAGTCTTTCAAGAGGCTTTGAGAGGTTAGAAAGAATTGAAATTGGACGGAAATCTTCGGGTGAGGATGGATTAGGCTTTTTATTTAAAGGAAGGACAATGGCTTTTTTCCAAGAGGTAGGGAATACTGAATTCTGAAGGGAGAAATTGTAGATAAAAAGGAGAGCTGGGAGGATTTCAGGTAGACATATTTTTATTAATTTGACAGGAATGCCATCTGGCCCTATGGAATTGGTGTGGGATTTCATTACCGCGGTTAACAGGTCTGTGGGAGAAATGTCGGAAAAATAAAAGTTATTGTCGTTAAAGGATATCTCTGGAGCAAAGCCAGAAGAGGAAGGTAGAGAAGAGGTATTAGCGACAGATATAAAATAAGAGTTTAAATCATCGGAGGATACAGGATAGGCTGCGGTAGGGGATCTGGAAGGATTACCAATGGAAAGTTTACGAAGCAGTAGCCATTTCGATTTGATATCAGGAGCTGAGGAAAGGGTTTCATGGAAGTAGGAAGCTTTCGCACGCCGGATCCTTGTCTGTGCCAAGTTGCGAAGCACCCTGAACGCTTGGTAGTCATCTGCAAGCCTCGTACGTCTAAAACGTCTTCGGGCAGCGTCGCGCCTCTTCTGCAGATCTTTGATTTCCTGACACATCCAAGGAGCAGGCCGGTGACGAAAGGTAGAGGTTTTGAGGGGAGCATGGGTATTGAGAATATTGAGAAGATTGGTGGTAAGAATGTCAACCATGGAGTCGATGGAAGAGCAAGAATATATTCCATTCCAGTCTAGGGTTTCTAGGTCAGATAATATTTTTTCTCGAGTAAGGGAATCTAGGTGACGGAAAGTGATAGTTCGAGGCTGGATTGAAGGAGTTTGGATATTATATGTTATTTGTATAAGATCGTGAGATGATAAGAATGATACTGGCAATTGAGAAGAGGAGAGGAGATTTTGTACAGAGTCTATAATGTAGAAGTCTAGCCAAGTGTCTGACCTGCTGGTGTGGTGGGTGGGGGAACTATGAAGAGGTGCAGAGAGAAAATTAAGTTTTCTAGATAGGATTTGTCATTGGAGTTAGAGAGGAAATTGGTATTGAGGTCACCGGAGATGATTATTCTGGGATATAGAGGAACGAAGTTGAATAGGGTTGATTCGAAGGACTGATCAAATGTTACGTATGGAAGCCTGTTGTAATCTTTAGGGCAAGCTCGTATTCCATTGATTCCTCTATTACAACTATTGTCCGTTACAATATCTTATTTCTCCTTTAGTTAATAATCAAATTCTTTCATATTTTATATTTAACTATTTGTAATTTCACTTATCTATATGTGAAATATATAGTAAAGGAAAGTATTGCAATTGTGGAAATTTTTGAATTTCAGTTTTCAATGGAAATACACGTTTTGAAGTCTCTTGAGTCGAAATAACCAAGTCCTGCATAATGGTCTGTATGTGTGTGTTAACAGTGTAGCTCCAAAACGAAAAGTCGTACAAAAGTGAAATTGCATATTTAAGGTTTTTATATGCTAAGGATGTAACGGTCACTTTTTTGTCAAAATCTACTGACCGGAAGTGGCACTTCATATCATGGGTTAAACACATTTTTACAATTTTCTCGGCAAAGCCTCCAACGATCTTGATTAAATTCATTAGATCAGTGTAAAATTAAGCAGTTTTAAATAAAATGTAGTTTTTATTCTGATTGATGTTCTCTGACAGAGGTTGAATGGCTAATTTTCAATATTAGCTCCCTCTAAAGTACCTTTAATTTTTTTCATTTAAAAAAATTGACTATTTCTAATATAAAAGATAGTTAAATATAATATGTGAAAGAATTTGATACTTAACTAAAGAAGAAATGAAAAATCGTAACGGAGAATAGTTGTAATTGACCGCATCCGAGCTCACACAGGCTTCCATACGTTACATGAGCTTAATATAATACGGAGTCCGACTTTATTATATAAATATAAATATGCGGTTTTCATAAATGAAATGAAATGAAAATGAAAAAATATTTTATTATTCTCAGACTGTTGTCCCTTTAGAACAAATTATAAATACAGATTGTATGTCTGTGTGGTTACAATTAGATTATATATTTACAATAAGAGTTGACTAAAAATAAAAGTACTGAAGAAGAGAAAGAAAAGAACAAGAAAATTGTACATATATATGAGAAACTAAAATAAATTGAGGTAGTCTCTGGGGGGTGCTTAGATATTTCTCTTAAGTATATTTCGCAATCAGTCAGATTGAGAAAGGAGTAGGTGTTTAAAGAGGAGAGGTTTGAAAGAGGAAACTGATTGAGCATGTCCAATATCAGCGGGGATGGAATTCCAGAGGGAGGCGGCTTGTATTGCAAAGGATTTGTCAAATGCAGCAGTTTGGTGAGGAGGAGGATAGAGGTCGGAAGTACGAAATCTAGTGGGACGGGATTGGATGGAGTATTTGAATTGTAAGCTGTGAAAAATATAGGAAGGTCGATGAGTTCTAATGATTTGGTACAGAAAGGTGACTAGGAAGTACTGACGGCGATAGGATGGGTAGAACCACCTCAACTCAGTGTAATACTGGGTAATATGCGTATCCCTTGAGATTCCGAAAAGAAATCGTAGTGCGCAATTCATTAGGCGTTTAAGTTTGGCCTTGGAATATCCCGAGA